TACTATAGTAAGGCATATTTTTCAGGTCACTAACACCTTTTAAACTGTTGCTTGTCACGAAATTTACTTTCTATGGTACCCCAAAAGCCTATGGAAAAAATCCCACTGGCTTTTTGTTGAAGAAACCAGAGTGATGCAACCTTTCAGGATGACCCACAAAAAGATGTCACGCCTACAACACTCTATAAAGCCAATAAGTCAGTTTGACTACCTACACATGAATTAATTACCATTTCATCTTCCGATGAAGATATTTTCTCAATCTTCGACATCTAGAGGGCCTTCAACATCAGGTTGCTAAAAGAAAAGAGAGATTTGTTAAAACTAGGAGTTTGGTTATGTTAAAATTGGTTTAAAATTTAGTTCCTATCAGCTTCCGTGCACAGGGATTGGTTATAATTTGAGTGGCATTTCATCAATATAAAATCCCTTTTGGGACTTTTCGGTCAAATGAGAACACACACTGGAGCCATTTCTCTTCCGGGTGTGTTGAACTCCAAAACAACTTTGGTTTTCAGTGTAGTTCTTCATCATAGATTACAACCAACATGTCTCACTGTCATGTCTTCTTTACAGGAAAAGAACCAGAAACAAAAAAGATGGACTATGAAAAAACAAAATGGCTACAAAAATATAGGAATGAATGGAAGCAGGAGTTAAAGTGGCTAGGATATAATCCGTCTAATGATGTAATGTAATGTACGCATGACTTAGGGGAGGGAGGGAGTGTGTATCAGGCACAGCAATGGATTTGGGATGGGATGAACAGCGAGAGAGGATATGTGCCATATTTTCAGAAAATTTTTCAATTATAAAAATGTAATTCTGCCCACGTATTTTGACAAAAAAGGCTATAGTTTGAATTATGTATCATAGGTTTTCAACTGCTTTTTGCAATGTTTGTAATGACAGACTCAGGCACAACGCTGGCGGGGTGGGAGCAAAATAGCAGGTGTGAGGCTATTGTGCAAAAATAATTAAGACATTGGGGTCTTCAAAAAGAGACAACTATGAGAATATATGCATGTTTGCAAATGAACTTTCAGTTTAAACTTGTCTTTTCACTCCGTTAATGTCTTTCATTTATGGAAGTGTCACAGTTAAGGAGGGCTGTGTTTAGTTATGTTAATTAGCTAGCAACTAGTTATCCCACTGTTTTGCTGCTTTAACAACTTTAGCTCTCATGTGGCTTGGCCAACATCAGCTAACTAGCTGTGATTATCTACAACAACAAGAAGTAGTGATGGCCGTCTGACAGCGAGACTCCGATACAAGCTTCAAACTTGAAGAGGCAATTTCCTTGAACCACTGCTTCAAACTTGATTTGGTGCAGGAAAAGACACGTGACCAATGACGTCCGAAGCAGAAACTGCTTGCTGCGCACGCTTCAGCAAGTTTGTAGGTGCGTAAAAGCACTATATACATGACAGATCCTCCCCTTGGAAAGATGAGAAGATCCTCTGACAGAAGATCCCATATTTGTTTTCGCTAGCAAAGTAATACCTATGTACACCACCCTCATCAGTGCCATGTGAACGTGGGTTTTTGAAAGCTGGAGAAGTTGTCAGCAAGTAAAGACACCGGCTCAGTCCAAAAACAGTGGAAAAAAAAAAGTTTCTCTAAATCTGAATCTCCATCCCATGTACATAATCACACCCTGCCCTAGTTACATAAGCACCATCTTAGCACATCCTTTGTTTCCCCAAGTACGCCTACTACACTACATACGTATATAGAATCAACTGACTGATCAGTCTTTACAAAAATGTATTTACATCATTCACACAAAGCCTAGTTACACCCATCACAAAATTAAGACATTGTTTTGCTGTCTCCTATTTCGCCACTAGATGTCACTGAAACGAAGCTTTGAATGAATGAACCCATGTTCGATACAATTGATGAAGTGGTTCAATACTGGTTCATTGTTTCAGTTGCACATCACTAACAAGAAGCAGCTGCTGCTGTAGGAGTCCGTCCACCCTGAATAACTTTAAATGAACACCACTAAATGAATCAAGTACTCAAACACAAAATTAATCCTACCCTCGAAAAACGTTTATCCACCCTGCACTTATTTCTGCAGAAGTTAGGAGTACCAAACTCTTCCCATTTCAAGGTTCCATTTAACAAACGGCGTCAAGTCGGAAGTGACCTCTAGGTCAGATGTCAATCACTCAGGTCACTAAACCCGCCCCCAAGTAAAAATGGGTCCATCTTCAAAAACTAAAAACAAAAGCTTAAAGAAAACCCAAAGATGCTAATTTCAGTGATCCAACTTACAACTTAACTGTTCCCAGAGGGAAACTAAATACAACAGGCAAATAAAGCTCCTCTCTCAGTGGTCATCTGGGACAGTTTGAAGCCTTCTAAGCCAGGGTGCACTCTCCACACCTCATTATGCACAGTTCAGTAATGGAGACTCGATAAGTAACAGACATTCACTCCTCATGCCCTGCTCAGCAGTCTGGCAAAAATGTTTTATCTGAAGCCAAGTGCTGAAAGTTGACTTGCTTTCCGCCCCTCTGTCAGTCTACATTGGTTTTATGGTTAATGTTGCTCTGGTTGCATTCTCCTGCAGCTTTCTCTTCTTGTGCTCTACATTTCCCCTCCTCTGTCAGTCACTTTTATAAGACCCGTTTCATTCTTGTGTGAGAATTTGCTCAATTAAAAATGTAGCACATTTAATCATCTCATGTTCTTTGCCTGGCTTCCTCTTAAAATCTGAGTCCAATAAATGTTGTTTGCAAAAGTATGTACTCATGCCATCTAGGGGCCCCTTTGAAAAGACTAAATTAAATTCCTTTGATACGACCCCATAACTGCGTGCAGACGGCATAAATGAAGTCTCTTCAGAAGTCGACGCTCATTATAGTTGAAAGGCTGAACCTTGTCTTTGGGTAGGGCTCTGTCTTTCAGCTCTGAAACACACTTCTCTCTTTATCCATGAGTAGTGGGACCAGCGAGGTATTGTTTCACTGAGAGCCACTGAGGTAATCGAAATGCGAGCAATGTGTGGTGTATCTTAAGAGTCTGTAGGGGAGGCTGAACATACGTGTCACACTGTGACTCTTACATGTAAACAGCGGTTTTAGCTGCAGTTAGCGCAACTAATTCCAGTTCATTACAACTTCTGTCACTGGTTCTGGGTTTAGAAGATCATTGATGATATGATATTGTATTCACCAAAGGTTAGCCAAACTTGGAAGAGTAAAACAAAGGTGAACACTAAATGTCTAAAATGAAAGTTAAAGATACAAATTAAGAGCCCAGATTTATCTGTCACGGTGTGGAACTCGCTTCCTGTCTTGTGATTTTGTTTTGTAAGGACTTCCTGTTCTGTCTCACCTCACCTGCCCCAGCGTTACCCCGGTTCACGATCGCCATTCATTGTTTCCACCTGCTGCTCTTATCCTCTGGTCTCTTGCCTATATATCCTCCTCCCGTCCCTCAGTCTGGTTGCTGATTCATCTGTTCTCCCTGCCTCGTTGTCCATCTCTCCGCTTGCTATCTCCGTTCACCACACCCTGCCAGTTTGCTTACCCTGTCGCTCCTGTTGTCTGAACTTGGCTCCTGTCTCCTGTGCTCCGTACTGGTTAAGAGTTAGTTATCTGGTTAGTTTCCTTGACTCATGTTTTTCTGTTGGGCACTTAAGTTTTGGCTCCCTGACTGTTCTAAGATTTTAGTTTTCTGTACCTGTGGAGTGAAGCCTGGTCAGGTTGAGCACCTAGTTTTTCTTGCCCCTTTGTCCCTCTTTAGTTATATTAAACCAAACACTAGACTCCAGACTGTGTCTGCATTTTGGGTCTTTCCTAGCCTGAAAACCTCAACACTATCAATTTATTACACAGTATTTCCATTAATTTACTTAATAATTTTGATTTAAATTGGAAATATTCAGCTTGGCTCTTGCATTATGATATCTTAAAGAGGTACACAGTCTAAGGTTGGAGGACTTTTGAGAGACACATTAAAAAAGAATGGACATTTGATGCAGCAGAAGCCAAAATATCCACTATATACAGTGAATATTGGTTACTTGCTATCAAATAAAATTAATCTACGTCTTAAATTTTGCCTCCAACCCAGATATATGGCTCTGGCACCTGCAAGTCAAAACCGAGTCACAAATAATCCTGTGCACATTCATAAGAAAACACTTTGTCTCACCAACTTAATGTCTCTGTGCAACAAAACACTGACATAACAAAAGACTATTTTTAATCCTAACAGGACAAAACCGAATCACCAGCTTTAGACTGGACCACAATAATACCTGTCAAGTCTCCATCTCTCTAACTCTCCAGGTGCTTTTGTTCACCTCGGGGATTGTCTGCGCAGTATGATGTGTGCGGCTGCTATGGAAACCTCCTAGAAGTAAAATAAGTTGTTTTTCACTTTTCACTCCCTTGCCGAGGGCGTCAAAGTCATCTATTAAAGTCATGACAATCACATCCTCCCCTGTCCTGTTCACACATGGGGGCGACTGCAGTGACGTCCCATAATGCCACAGTGTCTTGCAGCCACAGCAACAGTTTGGCTGGGTAACGATGAAATGGTACCATCAGTTTATTAGCGCTGTGTCTTTGCATAATTTTGTTTGTACTGAACCCACTTCACAACAGCTGAAACAGGCTTAATACGTGGGTTTTTGTTTGTTTGTTTTTTTAAACGGGCATGGCTCTTGACTAACAGTGGCCCTCTTACAACACCACATCAATGTTTCCTTTCTTTGTGCTTTTCTAGGTCACACTGACATGTGGAACGGAGACAAGCTTGCTATCGGTGAAGGAGCCCAGCAAATGCCAGTACATCACAGACTTTCAGACTCCTGTGGCCTGTCAGCCAGTGCTAAAGCAGCGGGGTGTACACAGTGAACTGTGACCCCTTCCTTTACTGGCCTAGCCTAGATTGGCTTGGCCCCGCCACACACACTTCTGGGTTAGGCTGTGGTGACAGGCTGGGGTCCTGAGGGTCCCCTGTGACATCTGTGTTGCCAGAAAGTCTTGCTAAGGGCAGAATCTGATCTTCAGTCTGTTCCTAGACCACTGTAGATCTCACTGATTGTTACAGTGCTGCTTTATTTGTTATATAATTATCTGAAAAGAAGTGAATTAAGTGTACACAAGTATTCTTCACTCTGCAGTATGTTCTTATATGGGCTTACACTTAAGGTCCACTTACATTACTGTAAATATTTGAATAATGTGCAGCCACAATGTGTAATGGCATTGCCACTAAGCAATATAATATGACTGCTTAGTCATAAGTGGCTACATTATTGTAGCCTTAAGTCTTATAGGATCAGTCTGGTGAAGTGTTTCCTGTTTAACCAAAGCTGCACGTAGCTTAACATACAACTCCATTACTGTCCCAAAACTATTAAAATCAATTTCACAGACATTGCCTCAGTTACATGACAAACATGGGCACTGTAGTTTACTTTGAGATGATCCCATGTCTTGCTGCTGTGCATACTGGCTAGCTTATGAAATGCACAGCTGGAAACGGTCACATACAGATGCAATATGTTTGCTAAATACTACAGAACCCAGCTACTTTAGGGATTTTTTTTTTGCCTCTTCTAAAA